TGCTGCTGCCTGTATCAGTAGTTGTTCTTTCTTTTATTACTGAGTAGTATACCACTGTATGGATGTTCTATAGCTTGCTCATCCCGTCTCCTGGGGACGGACAACGGGCCGTTCCCAGTGTTTGGTGCTATTATGAATAAAGCTGCCATGAACATTCTTGTGCAAGTCTTTCATTTCTTTTCGGTAAATCCCTGTGATGGTAGTGGCTAGGCTGTACATAAACGTGGGTTTAACTCTATGAGAAACTGCCAGACCGATTTCCAAAAGGGTTGTACCATTTTTATAGTCCTATCAGCCACATATGAAAGTTCCAGCTGCTCCATATCTCTGCCAATACTCAGTGTTGGTGTTGTAGGGAATCTTTATTTATTTATTTATTTATTTTGAAGAGAGGGAGGCGGGGTGAGAGGCAGAGAGAGAGAGAGAGAGAATCTCAAGCAGGCTCCCTGCCCAGCACAGAGCCCGATGCGGGGCTCGGTCTCACAACCCTGAGATCATGATCTGAGCCAAAATCAAGAGTCAGACATTTAACCAACTGAGCCACCCAGGTGCCCAGGGTCCTTTACTTTAAAAAAAAAGTTCCTTGGGGCGCCTGGGTGGCTCAGTTGGATAAGCGACTGCCTTCGGCTCAGGTCATGATCCTGGAGTCCTCGGATCGAGTCCCGCATCGGGCTCCCTGCTCAGCGAGGAGCCTGCTTCTCCCTCTGACCCTCCCCCCTCTCATGTGCTCTCTCTCTCTCTCTCAAATAAATAAATAAAATCTTTAAAAACAAAGAGTTCCTTGGGTGATTTTGTTTCATAGCCAGGTTTAGGGACCACTGGACTGGACTGGTTTCAGTCTGCTAAACACTAATGCCCAACATTTATTTTTTTTTATTTTTAAAGATTTTATTTATTTATTTGAGAGAGAGAGAGCACATGAGAGGGGGGAGGATCAGAGGGAGAAGCAGACCCCCCGCCGAGCAAGGAGCCCGATATGGGACTCGATCCCGGGACTCCAGGATCATGACCCGAGCCGAAGGCAGTCGCCTAACCAACTGAGCCACCCAGGCGCCCGCCCAACATTTATTGAGCGCTTCCTGCCTGGATCCGTCCCAGGACCTTCAGCATGTCCTATCATGTAAACCTCACAACAACCCTATGAAATAGATACCATTATTCTTCCTATTTTGCAGAAGAGGAAATTAGGTACAGAGAGGTTAAGTAACTTGCCTAAGGTCACGTAGCTCTCAAGGGGCAAAAGCTAGGTTTGAAAACAGGCAGTCTGGCTCTGGGATCATGAGTTTAACCACTGAGTTAATACTTGCCCATTCAAATTCTGTACACACTCATTCTATTGGGCCTAATCAGTAATTGCTGACATTATTATTGTTACTCAAATCCCACGCATCCTTCAAAGTCCAGCTCAGATTCCACCTTTTCCATCAAGTTTTCTCTGACTTCCCCTCTTCTCCTCCTGCCGCTATGAAATCCCTCAGTGTAATCAAGAGTCCTTCAGAAATGTGGGAGACTTTTGGGTTGTCCTTTATTTCTGTATTTTTGTACTGTCTTATCACCCCCCCATTATCTTTTTAAGATTACTGAGAATAGGGTCACTCCATGTTTATCTTTCTATTCCTGGCATGTTTGTGGACTTGAATTTAATGTTTTTGTAAATATGCTGTAGGCAGAACCACCAGGGTCCTTTAAAAGGAGCTCTCTTATTGGGAGATAAAAGGGAATCACAGAAATTAGATTGCCTTTTCCCTAAGGGAAAAAAAAACACACCCCTTTACTTTCTTTCCGATGGAAGTGGATGTGCTGTCTTAAGGGGTCCTGATGCTTGTCACTGCAGGTGAGAGGAGACCATGCCATGTGGCATACTTAATTCCCCAATAAAGTCATTATCTCCTGCCTGGCTGCCTCCTTTAAGGCTTCTGCTTATTTTATATGACCTGGCACCACCGGTCAGCTTCTAGCTAGTTCCAAGACTACCAGATCATAGTCATTTTCTTCCATCTTTGTATGAAAAGCAGGACCAGCTACATAATTTGTGAGGACCTAGTGAAAAATGAAAATGCAAAACTTCTTGTTCAAAATTTATTCAGAATTTCGGATGGTAACAGCAGAGCATTAAACCAAGACTGGAGTTCCGTGTGACTGCATGGGTCCCACACCTGTGAAGCCAGACGTGATGAAAATAGACAGAACCGTCCTCAGCAGACAAAAACCAATCACAGAAATCTGAGCATGGGGACAATTTATCTCTAAAGCCCTCCACCTCCCTTCTTAACAAAAAGACTGCTGAAAAAGAAGTCACCCTAGTTCTGTGTTACATTAAGGCTGACTGTTATGGATTGAATTGTGGAAAAGGATGTTCAAGTCCTGACTCCCAGTACCTATGAATGTTGACTGTATTTGGAAATGTGGTCTTTGCACATGATCAAACTAGGATGAAGTCCGTAGGGTGGACCCTAATCCAGTATGACTTGGTGTCCTTATATAAAGGGTGGGGTGGGGTGGGGGTGCCCTGGTGGCTCAGTCAGTTGGGCATCCCATTCTTGATTTTGGCTCAGGTCTTGATCTCAAAGTCATGGAGATTGAGCCCCCTACCCTCCTCAGGTTCCACGCTGGGTGGGTGGAGTCAGCTTGAGATTCTCTCTCCCTCTCCTTCTGCCCCTCCCCCCACTTGTGCACTCTCTCTGTCTCATAAATAAATAAAAATCTTTTTTTTTTTAAAGGGTGGGGGGGATTGGCGCACAGAGACAGACATGCATGGAGGGAAAATTATGTGAAGGCCCGCACACAGGGAGAACACTGTGTTACTGTGAAGGCAGAGATGGAAGAATGCAGCTACACACCTCAGAACTCCAAAGATTGAGGCAAACTACCAGAAGCTAGGGGAGTAGCATTGAACAGGTTCTCTCTCAAAGCCCTCAGAAGGAACAAACCCGCCCAACACCTTGATGGCAGACTTCTAGCCTCCAGAACTGTGAGACAGTACATTTCTGTCCTGCGAGCCGCCCAGTTTGTGGTACTACACCCACTAACCACACCGGGGCTCCTCCTGTCAGCCTCCTGCCCTTGCCCTTGCCAAGCTCCTGACACCTGGATAAACAGATGGCCCAACAGGACTGGACTAAGGATGGGGCCCGCACAATGTCAGTTTTGTTTTTCAAGACCTTTTTTCCTACAGAGGGGAGGGAGGAAGGTTGTCTACATCAGAGACACCTTTTAGAAAACTCAGAACCTTCCCATCCTGGTCTCAGCCCCAGTTTAAAGGACGCATGTATTAGCATCCTATAAAGCGAGGCCCTTTTCGAGGGTCTCCCGGCCTAAGCTGGACTGTGTGGCCCGTTTGCCAGTCATAAAGGTGATGCTCCAAACTTGAGGGTGCAACGTTCACGTCTGAGGCCACAGATGAAGTGGCCACAGCAGGTGGGAAGCCTCCGTCCTTGGCTCGGTCCTTGGCTCCATCCCCAGGATGGCCCCAGGAGGAATCCGCCCGGTTCTTCCCCGCCCTGCTAAGGCCTGTGGGGGCCGCCCTTCCGGGTGAATTCGCAAACGGAGTCCACCGAGCTGCTCTTTGGGCTGGGGTCGGGGTAAGCATGGGGAAGCCTCCCCCGTAAGGCAGGCTGTGGGGCCTGACGTCCCGGGCCGCCCACCGGGAAGGGAAAGGGGAAGTGCGCCTTGGCGCCTGGGGTCAAAACGGGCGGGGAGAGCTGCTCTGTGAGGGCACAATTTGCAGAAGCCGCCAAGCCGGGGGTCTGCCGGCCTGACCCTGCTCGGGGCGCCTGGAACAACCCGAGGTAGGGCGCACCCCAGTTCCGTCAGGGCCTCGGCGCCTCAGCGGGCCGCAGCGCACCCAAACATGGCCGCCGAACCCGGGTTCCGGGGCCGCAGCCGGGATTCCGGGCGACGCACGACCGACGGGTTGCATCAGCCTGCGACCACGTGCTCGGCCCGCCCCTCCGCCCACGGATCCGGGCGCCGATTGGGCCACGTTAGGGCCGTGACCTCCGCCTCAGCCAATGGGAGGCAGCCACAGAGCGTTCTCGCCGCAGAGCCCTGGCGCGAGGTGCCTATAAAAGGCGTCTGAGGCGGGGGCGCGCGCGCGCTCCAGAGACGCGAACCGTCGTTGCGGGGCTTGTGGGGGGCTGCGTCGCCGCCTGCCTGGCATCTCGGAGCGCCGCGGAACCCACAGCGCAGCCGACATGGAGGTCGAGCCCGAACCCGAGCCTGAGCCCGTCACGCTCCTGGTGAAGAGCCCCAACCAGCGCCACCGCGACTTGGAGCTGAGCGGCGACCGCAGCTGGAGCGTGGGCCGCCTCAAGGCGCATCTGAGCCGCGTCTACCCCGAGCGCCCGGTGAGAGGGGCCCCCGACTCCCCCTGCCAGCGCCTCCCGCCCCGGCTGTCATCCCCTCGGCCCGCCTCGCGTCCGCCTCCCCTTCCCTTCCAGCTTATCCCTTTGCCGCCCCTCCCCCGACGGCTGGTCCTCACCAGGTCACTTCCCCAGGGCTGGGGGCCTGCCCTGCCCTGACGCGGTAGGCGCCGCCGCACCCGGCCCAGTGGCCGTCACCTCCAAGTCCTAGGCCGCCATCGCCCCGCCTTCCCGACGGGACGCCTTCCCTTGTCACTTCACCTCCCGTGGTCCCAGCCCCACCTCCCGGACCACTGCCCCGTCCCCTGGGTCTGGCTTCGGGCCTTAGCCAAGCCGTTGAGACAGCAGTTTGACCTTGGGTGAGTCATTGCACCCTTCCAGCCTCAGTTTCCCCGAAAGGACAGGGCGGCTAGGCGTTCCGCGTTAGGATTGCATCCACTGGCTAGAAGCGAGGACACAGAAATGCTGCCAAGTGGATTTTCTGAATGCCGCGTCTCAGTGTGGAGCGGAGGCGGCGGAGGCCAGTGGCTAGGGAAACGGGGAGCGCCCAGGGAGTGTGTACTTAAGGTCCCACACCCAGGAGCGAGACGTGGCTCTTCCCCTCCCCGTCCACCTTCCGCCCTGGGCCCCTCCCTGCCGCGCCGGTCTCCGCAGCCTTCGCCGAGTCCCGGGGAGGAGCCCCGCGCGCTTTCTGGCTAGAGTGAGTTAGAAGGGAAGCAGGCACAAAGAGTCTCCCTGAGTCTGGGTTTTAAGACTTTGGCCCCTCAATTACAGACTTCCTCGCTTTGTTTTGGTGGACACATCTGTCAACATCACCCTTAGCACCGCCCTCCGTCCGCCCCACGTGATGGAGGCGGCTGCATCCTTCCTGTATTTACTTTCTACTCTGATATTATGTAAGTGTCACAGTGTGCTTTACTGCCCACAAGTGTAATTCTCCATCAGACAGGAGGAGACATCGGGGCGAAAAAGATTGTGAAATTCTTCCTTGTTATCTGTAAAGTTGCCGTGTGTGGTAGCTCGGGGGTCAGGCTCTTTTTGCTCCTTATTTGTGCAGTATGGAAGGTAGAAGTGAGTTTTCCTTCTGAGTTATTCTTTTGAATTTTGCTTATTTATCTAATAAGCTTTCAATTCTTTTTTTTTTTTTTAAGATTTTATTTATTTATTTGAGAGAGAGAGAATGAGAGACAGCACGAGAGGGAAGAGGGTCAGAGGGAGAGGCAGACCCCTTGCTGAGCAGAGAGCCCGATGCGGAACTCGATCCCGGGGCTCCAGGATCATGACCTGAGCCGAAGGCAGTCGTTTAACCAACTGAGCCACCCAGGCGCCCCAAGCTTTCAATTCTTTAGCATACCCCTTGGGACTGTGTATAGTTTCACCCCAGCTGCTTCCAAGAAACTAGGTGGCTGTGTTGCTCTGAGAATGGCTATTAGGTACGCAGATAGGTGTAGTCGCTAGTTGCATCATTTGGTAAAAGGCAGTGTTTTGGAGGAGAGCTTCCCTTAAGGGCTTCCTTGGGTGACAAACATCACTCCTATTAAGTCCGAAGACCCAAATAAAAGACCCCTCAGGTGCGTAAGTTTGTGCTTAAAAATCACGGCTGGAGAGCACTCATCATTTGGTTTCTAACCTGAGAAGTCTTACTTTTATAATTTTTTTCAAATCAGCCTTCTGGGTAAAGACACAGCAACAGGTCAGGCCTCTAAAAGGAAACCCACAGGCAGCTATGGTTTTCAAACCTTTACTAGTGTGGAACTCTTCAATGTAAAGCAGGACCCCACCTCTCCAGTAGCGTTTTATAAAATTATGTGTATAGCATTACCTATAAAGTCGATCGGAACAGTGGTGAAGAAAGTATCCAATTTGGTTCTGTAGTTTTAGGTGCATAGTGTCAAAAATTCCTGATTTATGCAGATAAATAGATGCAGTTGTTGTTTTGATTGTTTTAAACAGTTTGCTTTATAATCTCCAGCTACTTGGCAGGAGCAGCTTTATGCCAAATTTTGCATAGTTGTTTGTATCGGCACTGGTTGGTGAGCTCTAGTGTACTAGCTTTGGTATATATCATTTGAGGCTATTCGTTTTAAGTATGGTTTTTAAAGGAATTAAAAATAGATTTTAAAAGTGAGATTTGTATGAAAGTGTGGAGAGTCCTTGCAGTTTGAAATTACTGGGAAGGAGAAGAGGGGTTGGAGTCTTGACTTTTTAGCAGCAGGTGACCTTAGACAAGTCCGTTTCAGACTTTTCCTCCCTTCAAACAGGGATACTAAATCTCACAGGGTTGAATACCTCCTCTGTAGCTGCATTTGTATATTGGGAAAAGTCTCTTTGAGAGTTTAGAATTAGTTTAGAATTGCTTTGTGTGATCTTAGGACAATACGAGGTGATTTTGGTGAAGGCTGACCTTGCTTGGGAGCACTGAGCTTTCTCTGAGACCATACAATTTGTGTTTTTAATGGCAGAAAGGAATTTCCTTGGGAATTTAAAAGTCATGTAGGTCACCATAGGTTTTGTGGACTGGAGATGATTTGCCATCCTAAATTTATTTGTATGTTAGAGAGAAATTAAAAGTTCAGCACTTTATAAAGAAGAGTTTTGTATATGAGACCTTTGGAAAAATGCTTTCCGGTGATTCTAGGAAAAAACACCCATGTTCGAGTTATTTGTATAAAAGTTTCTTCTGTGGTTGGGAACTTGTGGGAGCTAAATGCTGACCTGTGCTACTCTTTCTTTCCATGACTAGTGTCCAGAGGACCAGAGGTTAATTTATTCTGGAAAGCTGTTGTTGGATCACCAGTGTCTCAAGGACTTGCTTCCAAAGGTACATCATTTACACATTAACTTTTGATACTCTGGTTTCTCTTCAGATCGTATAAATCTTTCGCCTTTTACACATTAACTTTTGAATGTTTTTTAAGCACTTACCAGGTTGAATTTAGGTCCTAAAGTACCTCCTTATTACTTTTAGCAGGAAAAATGGCATGTTTTGCATCTGGTGTGCAATGTGAAGGGTCCTTCAAAAATGTCAGAAACCAGTGCAAAGGTATGTCTGCTTTTTCAAGATTATAGCAATCTCTATAAATCAGACCCTCATGGTAGAAATAAAGAGAGTTGGAAAAAAGAGATTTTATTGCCTTTTTATCAAGTAATAGTTTGTTTCTTCCCCAGTGATAATCAGGAATTAGAAACTTATCAATACAAGTGCATGTCTGCTATTATAGTAGTAGACTGTGCCATTCGTGTGTAGTGGGAAAGTAGAGTTCTACATTACACTGTCTTCCGGGACATGATTTGACCTGCAATAGCTGTGTATCCAGATCACTAAATCAGCAAGACACTCTAAAATGGGTTTTTACTGAATTTAGCACATAATAAGCTGCTTCTAAGGAATCACTCATTTTTATGAACAGTAAAAAAGTGAATATATTTCCTTTGGAAATTTTCATTGTGATGTATTTAATCGGATAGGAAAAGACCACCATCTCTATCACGTGATCTCTAAAGACTGACTTATGTTTGACAACCAAAATCATTTATTTTTCACTTCACAGTGTTGATTTGAATATACAGTAATAATATTCTAATGTAGTGATAACACTCTAAATTAGGATTACGACTCTATTTCCTGAAACATCTGAACGTAGGATAGGAGATTTCTTTCCTTTAGGTTGCTGGCTAGGTTGTATTTATAAATCTTGTTGGTCAGATTTAGTTTCTTGATTTAGTAATGAAATTACAGCATAGTTACTCGAGGAAAAAATACGGATTTTTAAAATATCTATATATTGAAATTGGGTTGAACAAATTTCAGAGTATTTTTTACATAACATTGCATCTGTTTACTTTTGTCAAGTTCAGAGGTCGGGGTGAGGGACATGCCATTCACAGCAAAAGAATCCTTTTAGTTTGGTTGCAGACAATTGCATCAGATCCTTTGTTCTAATATTCATCTTACACTTACTTAGGTTGCTGAATCCACAGAGCAGCCTGCTGGTCTCCATCAGGGACAGTATCCTGGGGATTCCTCGGGTGATAGCTTAAGGCAAAGGGAGGTTCTTCGGAACCTTTCTCCCTCTGGATGGGAGAATATCTCAAGGTGAGTGTTACAATAGAGAACCAGGTTTATACAACACGGACATGCATCATTTGCATCAATTTTAAGAATAAAGTATGTTTAGGGCGCCTGGGTGGCTCAGTCGGTTAAGCGACTGCCTTCGGCTCGGGTCATGATCCTGGAGTCCCGGGATCGAGTCCCGCATCGGGCTCCCTGCTCAGCGGGGAGTCTGCTTCTCCCTCTGACCCTCCTCCCTCTCGTGCTCTCTGTCTCTCATTCTCTCTCTCGCAAATAAATAAATAAAATCTTTAAAAAAAAAAAAAAAAAGAATAAAGTATGTTTATAGTATATAGTCACAGAACTTTAAAATGTACAAAATTTTGCTTTTTAAGGGCTTCACTTTAAAGATCTGTTATGTATTTAACTTTTCTTAATACACAGCCTTTTAAGAACACATAAACATATGGGGATGCACGAGTTGAAAATGTAGGCATTTCCCTTCCCACGTGGGTGTGCTTCGCATTGTGCTGACCTCATGATAGGGACTTAGTGCTGCTGCTGCTGCTGCGGAGAAAACAGCCAGTGTAAGCATCTCACAGCTGCTTTGCCAGTGGCTTTGTGCTTTGTCTGTTTTAACAATGGGTGACAAAAGGTGAAAAGATGAAGAAATGCTCTGCCAAGGACTGAGTTGGTGGTGCTGGGAAAAAAAGGTCTTGTCTTTAGAGCAAAAGCCAAGAGTGACTAAATGCTCTAATGTTTGGATTTCATAGCTCTTGGAACATCTTATTATGAAAGTTCTTATGAGAAAAAAATAATTAACTGCGAGTTGAAATTCTGTAGCCCCTCAACTCCCCTGCTTTCCTTTTCCTAGTAGTTATTATTAATATTTGATTTTGACAAAGTCAGGTATTTGAGGAATGATGAGTTGTTTTTTTTTTCCTTAACGGAAATTTCAAATACACACAAGAGCAGAGGGAACTGTGTAATGAACCTCACATAGACATCACCTGAGCCCAGTAATGATCATAGTTTCGCCATGCTTGTTTCATCTATTCGCCCTTTGCTTTTTCCTTTCTGACATGTTTAAGTAACTCCTAGACATCATGTCAGTTCACCCCTACGTACTTGAGTAAAACCTTAGAGTTCTCTTGCATATCTACAATGCTGTCCTCATCAGAGCTACAAAAGCACTTTGTTATCATCTCATTTCCTTGCACTATAACATTTTTAAACGATCGAAAACAATATTACACCAAGACCTACTTGAATTGGAATACCATTTTAGAAACACTCTGGCTCGGGAATTTGGTTAAAAGACTGTCAGCATAGGGGCACCTGGGTGGGTCAGGCAGTTGAGCGTCTGACTCGATCTCAGGGTCTTGAGATTGAGCCCTTAAAAGAGAAAAAGATTGTCCGCATATAAATTGGATAATTGGATAGAAACACTTAAAACTACTTCCCTTATTCTAGCCATACAACTTGAGATTTGTGGCCCATATGTATGTGAATTTCACCTTGATAAAACTTGTCGATTGTATTCAACACCTATTTATTGAGTAGCCAGTGCATGTAATTTTAAGGATGGGAGTTAACCAGCAGAGATGATCACATAACCAGTTCCTGATTTTTCCACAATGCTTTTAGTTTTGTGAATTGCTGCCAAAGGAGTTCACTCTGAAAAGGGCACAAAGCCAAAGATGACACCCATATGCTCTGCTTAAGAAATAGGAGTTTGGTGTCAAACAGGTCTCAAATCCAGCCCTGCTATTTAACTAGCTCAGTGACTTCCTGCAAATCCCTCGTCTTCCCTGAGCTGTATTCAGGCTCCCTTCTGTGACGTGGAGGGGGAAGCTCCCTCCCCACAGGTTGGTGGGGATCCAGTGAGGTAACAGCCCAGCAGCCTGTACAGGGCACCAGTGGTCAGTAAGCACGCACGAGTGATGCCACATACACACGTAACTCTGCCCCGCCGTGTAGCTCAGATTTAGGGGTGGGGAGAAATGGGTAGTAGGAGGAGGGGCTGGTTTTCTTCAGGAAAGGCTTTGAGAGAGATGTGGCTTTTTAGGGCTGCTCTTTGAAGGATAAACGGTGGGTTTAGAGCTGCAGTGACACTCAGCAAATGGAGACTGGGGGTGCGGGTCCACCTAGCCTGAACGGGCCCCGCTGGTTTACACGTCCTGGCAGTGACCTGCTGAGAGTAGGGCTCTGTCAGCACTGCCTGTGCTCGCGTCGCACGGGGGCCTCACACAGTCCTCTCCCAGTGAGCTGTCACACAGCCTCCTCTTTGCTCTCTCTTCCAAGTGCTAGTTGTAATTTAGACCTCTGCGTTTATTCATACGACACCAAGTCAAAATGAGTGTTTTTAAAAAAATCCGTCATAGGCCTGAAGCTGTCCAGCGAGTGTTCCAAGGCCTGGGGCCTGGTTTCTCGGGCTATACAACCTATGGTTGGCTGCAGCTCTCCTGGTTCCAGCAGATCTACGCACGGCAGTACTACATGCAATAGTGAGTCCTTTCCTGTCCTGCTGGGGGCGGCCGGGCGAGGGGTGGAGGAATGAGGGTAGTCATCAGTCTCTGCAGAGCCTTGCTCTGTCTGGCCCGGTGAGTGGAGGAGGGTGTAAGTGATAACTGCTACCTAATTTGTGTATTAATTCAGGGGGGCTTGTGTCTGTACATAGTTTGATGACTCATCCAGAATCAGTTACTTCCTTTTCAATACGAGGTATCTTTAGTTTCGTGAAAAGTTTAATTTGCTACTGTACCATACTTTTATAGTTTTATACTTTCAACTCCAGATGAAATTTACCATGTGGCGCTCTCAGGAGCAGAAAAGGCATTTATAGATTCAATTGTTAGTAAAGAAATTATTCACTAAGTTAAAGAAAAGTCAAATTTTTCATGTACCTACTTATAATTCTTAACAGTAAAAGACCCTGTGTAAATAAGGCTATGAGAAGCACAGTCTTCACAGTGCTTTGCTCTCAACAGTATCTGCCTCTGTTGATTTTATTTTAGTTTAGCGGCCACTGCTGCATCGGGGGCTTTTGTCCCTTCACCAAGTGCACAAGAGCTACCTGTGGTCTCTGCACCTGCTCCAGCCCCTATTCACAACCAGTTTCCAGCAGAGAACCAGCCAGCCAATCAGAATGCTGCTCCTCCAGTGGTGGTTAATCCTGGGGCCAATCAAAATTTGCGGATGAATGCACAAGGTGGCCCTATTGTGGAAGAAGATGATGAAATAAATCGAGATTGGTTGGATTGGACCTATTCAGCAGCCACATTTTCCGTTTTTCTCAGTATCCTCTACTTCTACTCCTCCCTGAGCAGATTCCTTATGGTCATGGGGGCCACCATCGTTATGTACCTGTAAGCAGATGATTTCGCTTTCCTTCTTTCCCTTTATTACAAATTAATGCTGCATGGGGGCTCAAACCAAGTACAGATTTTTCTCTTTTTTTGAGCAGTCTCAGTCATTATTTATGAAAGTGTGTTTCTGTTTATAAGATTTTATTAAGAGTGCGAGCAGGGGAGGGGCAGAAGGGGAGAGAGAGAATCTTAAGCAGGCTCCATGCCCAGTGCAGAGCCCGATGCGGGGCTCACTCTCACGATCCTGAGATCATACCCTGAGACAAAATCAAGAGTTGGACACTTGACCGACTGAGCCACCCAGGCATCCCTATGGAAGTGTATTTAAACGGCATATTATTCTGGCACCTTCAGTGCAAGGAACTGACAGTTTGGTTGGGCACTGCTGAGAACACATTAATCGTATGTTAATGCAAGAAGGACATTCTGTTTTCTTCTAGATAAGGGACCTGCCACGCTCATGAACCACAATAATATGGCCATTCTAAAGCATGAAAGGGAAAATTGTATTTGTTTTGAATAAAAACAAGTTTATCTTTATCAAGCTGTAGTTGCTGCCTTCCAGGATTAGAGGTCAGGCACTGACGGCAGCAAAGCTCTAAAGGGCCAGGGAACCTTTACAGACCTGACGTTTGGCTTTATCCACGGCTCAGAGTAGTGGTTCTCAACCAGGATGATTTTGTACTCCTAGGGTGTGACACTTTTGACTGTCACAACTAGAGGGGTGGTCCTACTGGCATCTAGTAGGTAGAGGCCAGAGGTGCTGCTAAGCATCCTACAAAGCACAGGACAGCCCCACAGTAAATATCCAGCCCAATATGTCAGTAGTGCCAAAGGTGAGAAACCCTGGCCTAAAGTGGTATGTCCTTGTTTGTGGTCAGAACTGACAAATTTTTCCTATGGAGTGAAAATGGATTCTTTAGTTTTAAAAATCTTAAGAGAGCAATATTTGAATAATAAAACAATTACTCTTATATCCAGAATTAATCATGTTAATATTTTGTCATATTTGCTATAAGACTTGTATTTAGTTGGATTTTCCAAATAAAATAATTAGTCAATTTTTTAAGTTTTTTAGTCTCTAGAATCATATATTTGTGACCAAATTTAGGTCTTATTATTATGTAGGTTATTACATATTCTAACCCCAGCTCTGTGTGCATGTGTGTGTTTATCCCTCCCCGACCCCCTGCTCAGGTTTGCAGGTGTAAAGTTTAGTTCAGGATCAGCAAGAGTACTTTCTGTGTGCAGGGTGCTGTTAATGTTGGTGGGCACACAGTGCTGAATAAAACATAGTCCCCATAGTGACGTTGAAGAAGCTAACAGGCCAGTGAGGAAGTCTAGGAGACGGTGTGGTAGAAAGTCTCTGCAGATGGGCCTGGCTGTGAGCTTCTAATCAGAGCATTGCTGTGATTAGAGGAGGAGAGCAAGGGGGACCCTATCTAATCAAGAAGAGCCTTAAATTCTTGAACAAAGGTCACTGTGATTTGCTAAGATGAACTTTTATGTGCTTCCTTTGAAGGCATCACGTTGGGTGGTTTCCATTTAGGCAGAGGCCGGTTCAGAACTTCCCAAACGATGGTCCTCCTCATGAAGCTATAAATCAGGACCCCAACAATAACTTACAGGTAAGGAGCTCCCAGGGGGGGCCCAGCAAGCTTCTTGTGAAATGCCAGGCTCTCAAATCCTTAACATTTAGATACTTAGCCTCATAGTTTACCATTTCATTAGGCTGAAGTTTCAAGATTTTTTCAAATTTGTTCTTAGAGCAGTAGCTTTTTTTTTTTTTTTTTTTTAAGATTTATTTATTTTGAGAGAGAGCAAGACCATGCGTGTCTGCAAGCAGGTGGGTGGGGTGGGGGAGAAGAGAGAGAGGGATAGAGAGAATCTCAAGCAGACTCCCTGCACCGAGTGCGGAGCCCAACACGGGGCTCGATCCCGTGACCCTGAGATCATGACCTGAGCAGAAACCAAGAGTCAGACACGTAACTGACTGAGCCCACCCAGGCACCCCTAGCAGTAGCTATTTTTATTTATTTATTTATTTATTTTTAAAGGTTTTATTTATTTATTTGACA